AAAACATTAATATCATTTGAATAAAAATAAGGGCTTAAAAGCTCTGAGATAGATAGCTCTGCCATCTATCTCTGGGATATAATCAAGGCTAACTAGAGCCTTGTACAGAGTTCAGTCATGTGTATGAGATCCAAAAATAAACCTACAATCTATACAAAAACAACATACATTTGTTTTTGTAGCCTTGATTGCTATGCTTTTAAAAACCTAACAAGAAGTTTCATACAATCGAAATTCAACAGTCTTCCCTATATACTGTACAGTGGTTCTTTCCCTCTAGCCACAAGTTCCATTATTTCATTAATGTACAAATTGAACATAATTTTTTGAGTTCCTCTTTATATATAAAAATAGTCAAAATATTAATTTCTCTTGCAAGTACACAACTTCCAATAAATCTTGCTGTGTTCCCCCTTTTTTTGTCCACAGTTCTTATGAAGAAATCTCTCGTACAATGATGAGTTCTACTGTGTTCTGGAAAGTTTTTAGCAAGGACACTGCTTGTCCATGTTCAATATTGATAAAACTGTAGCCATTAGCCTAGAAGAAAGAAGAAAAATACTATTGAGAAAAACATTTCATAGTAATTTTTTGTACTGGTACGTTTAAATTTCTGCCAGGTAGTCCATAAATCTGGCAGAAAATAAGAAGCATTTTGGCAATTTAAAACAACACTTAGACTCACAAGCCCTACCTCATGTCACTTAAAATCTCTGAAGGTGGAACCCAGGAACCTATAATCTTCCCACATTTTCAGATGATTCCTATGTAGCTGTTGGTGCCAGGAAGCACTTGTCTAAGACAGTGTTTTCAGACATGGTGTTGTGTATGTAGTACTGTGCAACTGAGGTCACCAAGTGGCAAGGGTAGCAGGTCAAGAACACTACACTTCTTATAATTTAAGCTAAACATTTATTGAGGTCTTACTGTAAACCAGATGCACAGTTCTAAGTGCTTCCATGACTTAATTCCTTTAATTCTCATAACACAAAAAAGATTCTTCTATCACCTGTTTAGAGAAGTTAACATTCCTGAACTTAAAATGCTAAGATACAGCAAATATGTATTAAAAAATATCAGTATGACTTTCCAAAGTACAAGGTGGAAATATTTTAAACTATGAAAGCACTAGAGTGTAGCCTATATGAAATATCACTATTTTCATCCACAAATAATTATATACTTCATAAAATGCTTATTTTCAAATTTGGCATTTAATAATTTCTAGAGGTAGATGTTATAAAATAAAAAAATAAAATAATAAAAAAAGATGTATCTTAGTTACCTGAATAATTTTATCACCTGGTTGCAATAATTTTGATGCTGGTCCTTCAGGCTGTACCCTTGTTACAAATATACCCTTTAATAACAACAAAAATGATTATTTAATGGGAAGCAGTATACATAAATAATGGAGTACCAAGGAGCAATTCTTCTCTCAGTACATGAATATATGAATTGTGACAAGTTTTCTGTCTCTTTTGAAATAACACTATGAAAACCGACCCTTTGTTATTTTTGCCCCTGATAATTCTGGCATTAGTAAGAACAGTGACTTCTGTTATAAGTGATGAAGTTACCTCTACGGATATACAAAAAAATAATGACAAAATTAAAAATCACTTCACAATATGAGGCACATGGAAAATTTTTGGTTAAATTTGTATTCTTTGAATGATTAATTTGAACTGATCATATTTCAAAACAAAAAACTGAACAATACAGAGGGAAATCAAAAGGTGATTTGTCTAATTTATATAAATGTTAGATTTTTATTCATATAAAAGTTATTAATTAGTAAAACTTTAAGGGCATTTCAAGGATATATAAACAATACTCACATCATCATCGGGTCTGAATGGGTTTCCTCTTCCCCCAACACCTCCTGATATGCTAAATCCAAGTTCTGGATCCTTTTCAATTCTCACTCGAATCTGAGTTAATATGAAAATATATCACTATTACTTTCTCAGAAAAGGCTGCAATACAGTAACTTCCATATTTAAGTATTGGTAAATTAAGTTCAAGCAAATATAACTATGTAAGGATTCATCTAAAATAAGTATTTGGGCAGATGAAGTGAAATTATGACATGGAATATTATGTTAATGAGTTAGTAAGTTAAAGGCACAGCTAGGATTACAAAGCAAAGCTCCTAACTTAATCTACTGCTGCCTTATGAGGACAGGCAACTACTTAATATTGACCCTATATATTTTTTAGACGTCGTGGATTTTAATGACAGAACACTGACACAAAACATGTATTTTATTATTAGTTTCCATTTGTGAAACATCTAAATAACATAGTATCTTTGTCTATTGGGCGTTTCATAGATATATAAAAGATCCCTGGGTGGTTGTTGGATATTAACCCATTTCCTGAATCTGCTTAGCATATGCTTCAAAGGAGTTGGGATTGATGATCAATTAATAATACTTTTTTAACCAAGCTACACAAAAAGATGCAAAAACTATTTGTTAAAAAACGCTCCTTTTCCCAGAGACCAAACCAAAACGAACAAAACATTTGTTCTCTACCTGTTTCTAATAACATAATTTTATCAATAAACTATCAAAATATATAACTATATAATTCATAATTTTCTAAAAGTACTTTGTAAGATTTAGTTCTCAAAGCAGTTTGGAGACTATAGTCAAGTTCAAAAGCTGAGTGTCAAATAACAATAGCAAACCATATTATGCCAATTCGAGTTTAATGATCTACTAATTGTATTTCTGAAGAAGGTCTGATTACCGAAGTATCATCAACTGGTTTTGGAAAAACAACCACCTTAGGAAAAAGAGCATGCCTATAACACTATATCCTATGTCAATTAATACACAGGGAAGATCACAAAGTTAAACTACAAAGTTTAACACCTCATAAACTTAATGGGAAACCAAACCTTTAAACAAAACGGTAAAAACTATGTTAAAATTCTATATGGATTTATTGCCAACGATTAAATAACCTATAAAAAACGTTAAAAGTTTAGTCTCATATTTCAAATATTCTTGATTATTCTTACCTCTTGCCTTGCCAGTTCATGGCCTTGTCTAGGAGAACAATGGGGCTGTGTATATGGAGGCTGGTGGGCCACTTTCAGCATCAAGTAATCAATTAGTTGTTCTCTAGAGGGATGCCTTGCCACAGATGCCTGAGGAAGGGGGTGATGTATTTGACTATAATTTGCCTGAGGCCTGAGAGGCTGGCCCATCTGTCCATTACTCAAAGGTATCTAAGAAAAACATGAAGTGTCTTAAAATGACCAATAATAATGTCTTATTGCAAATACCTGGATTTTCTTCTTGGAATATTTCAAAAATACTAGAATTTAACATTCTAAATCACACCATTTCATGCCACTTATTTCTTATAATTTTACACTTTTAAAAGAAAAAAGCTATAAATGTTTTAATTCTAAATCTGAGTGCTAGCTGATGGACTCGTTCTTTAAAGCTTTCAAAAGTCATATCTACATTTAAAATTGTTTTCTGTTCAATATAAATGTACCTATCTCATACTAACCAAATGTTAAAATGGTAAACAATATGCCAAAATTTTTAAATTTAAGCCCATTAAAAGGATATTTTTTCCTATACTACATTTAATCTCTCATATATACACAAAAGACGCATTTGCTGATATTTTTCTTCAGAACAAATGTAACTAATTTTGTGGTAGAATTTTTTTCCTAATCTAACTATACTTTTCTACCTTTATTCCTTCCTTTCTAAAGGTAACAAGCCAATTCAGCTATCTAATAGGAAATATGATTCATTCCTCATGTGTATGTATCAGTTAGCAATTTTTAAACTCTATTTAATTCTATAGGATAGTAACTACAAAAATTAAACCTTGGCATTTTATTTTACTTTTCATGAGCTAAATAAAAATCTTGAGTTTATTTTGTTGTTGTTGAAGAATTACCCTCATTCCAGTGCCTCTCATTTTTTAGAGACTAATCTGAACTTTAGACTTAAAAATCACCTTTGTAGAAATGTGGCTAATAGCTTATTCTGTTAGTGTGAGAAATCTATCTAAAAAATAAGGTTGTTTGTATTATAAATATTTGCGCATGAAGAGATTTTTATGTAGAAGAGGAAATAGGTTTGAGCTATTTAAATATTTGAAATATCACTGTTGATTATAAATAAAAAGGTTATCTCATCCACAAGGACATTATAGAAAAACTATGAGGGAAATAAATGAGCCCCATTTTCCTAAAATTATCCAAAGGCAGAAAAGTTTAGGAAAAGACTATGGCAATAGTTTCAGAACTACATACTGTTCTTTGTGAATCTTACTGAAGGATACAAAGAAGTTTTGTTTTTGGTAAAAAATGGTTTTTACTTCTAAAAAAGTTCTTTTTTTCCACTGTTATACTTGAGAGGTTAGTTAATTCTGAAGTCTGGAAACACACATGACTTTTATGACAGAGATATTAGCACAAAGATGTTATTACTCTATGACAAATCTTTTATTATTTACTCTTGATCACTGTAGATCTGAAGCAATTAATCTGTCCAAGAGTACTTAAATGGTTGTGCTGTTATTTTACTACTTACACACAACTCTGTAGATAGCACTTACTTTTCTCCATGTTTATATCATTCTTTCCTATGTGCAGATTGAATACTTTTCTCCTGGAGAGAATTCTCCAGGCTATAATTACTTCTGACTCCTTCTTAAGAGTCCCTGACACCTAGACACTTGGTCATGCCTGCCATTCTCTATTAATGTTATACATACCTTTGGAATATATTAAGCTATGATTGATTAGCAGATGGCTCAGGAGAGTAAAAAGCATTAAAAAAAAATCAGTAACCTAAACCACAAAATTGATAATAAAAAGAAAAAAAAAAAAAAAGGTGACAGAGCTCAATTGAAAGAAAAAAAAAGGAGGTAAAATAGATACCTACAAACTTAAATGTTATATGGCTGGATTTCTACTCTCCAGAACAATGTAGAAGTTTATGTGATACATAACCAGGTTTCATAATTTTATCTGGTTATACTAGGAAATGGGATTAATTGAGAAAGAACTGAAGAGAACACTAAAGAAAAGAATTATCTGGCATTGGTGACCGAAAAGTAAACTCTCTAAATGGGTGACGCTTTAATCACAAAAGTAATTAAGAATATAACCATCATCTAATCTACCACATACAGAACTCTTTCAAGATGACTTCTAATTACATTTAAAGTATCTGAAAATGCCTTCGCTAATAGTAAAACATCCTTAAATGAAGAATTTAAGACAGGTTCATCTTTGACTCTCCAAATAGGTTTACTGTCAGGAATGTCAAAAAAGCCCCTGATTCAAGTGATAAAATAAGTGAAACAATAGAAATCCAAAAATAACAACAAAATAGTTCTCCAGTATCAGGAAAAAAAATCATAGAATAAACTGAGAAATAACAGAGTGCAATCTATTTCTCAATTAGTAAAAAAAAAAATCTTTTTGGGTAAAAAAGATGAAGGGATTAGGAAGTACAAATTGGTAGTTATGAAATAGTTATGGGGATATTAAATAAGCATCGGGAATAGAGTTAATAATATGGTAATAACTACATACAGTGCCAGATGGGTACTAGACTAACTAGGGTAGGGGATCACTTCGTAAATTATATAAAAGTCTAACCATATGCTGTAACTTGAAACTAATATAAAATAATACTGTTAACTGTAATTGAAAAATCAGAAAGAAAGAGAAAAAGGTGAAGGGGAATAAGAACTTCCAGGTATAAAACAAATGAGTCATGAGGACATGGTGTACAGAATAGGGAATATAGTCAATAACATTGAGAGAGCGCTATACAGTGTCAGATGGTTGCTGAACTTTTCATGGTAATCACTTCTTTAGGTACACGAATGTTAAACAACTATGGTGTACACCTGAAACTAATATTGTAAGTTAGTTGTATTTTAATAAAAATCTTAACAAAAATAAACAATAAAATCCTTACTAAGCAAGGAGAGAAAAGTCATCAAAAAAGTACTTTGGTGTTAAAGCATTTATGGTATTTGTAGTTCAAAGCCAGAGGATTGTAAGCTCACAGATGCCGCCTCATTTATTTCCTGAGCACCTACTTTCATCAAGCTGTCTGGAGGAACATCTCTGTGACTAAGTGTAGCTGATGAGTAGCTGTGCTGTTCTGAAATGAATATACCATCTGGACAAGGATCTCCTGGAAAGGATGTCTGGGGATGCTTCAAATTAGGGGAAAACAGAAAGTAAACAGATAATGATCTTTAAGATATGTAACCAAAATGATGATGATTCTTGAGAGGAGATCAGAAAATAGTAGTGCTAGATAACAGAAACATGAGGAGCCAAATAAAACATGACCATCAAGAACTGCCACCGATCTTACTACCTTTTTAATGGGTCTTAACTTATTGTAGTGATCATTTCATAATACATACATATATCGAATCATCATGATGGACTAATACAATATTATATGTCAATTATATCTCAATAAAAATAGAAAAAATTAGTACTTTTAACCATTTTCCAACATTAATGGCAAAATGTTTGTTCTTGTAATGTGTGAAAAGTAAACACAGCTATACACTATTAAGGTATTTCTTTATAATGCTTTTAGGTTTATTTACATTAATACCTATCTTTTAACACTTTGAGCAATAAATTTAGTTATTAATCTGAGTCCTAACTTTTACACTTGATCTTAGCCAAAAGTCTGAGAAGCAATGAGAGTCCCAACTTTTAAGAGCAACTATAATACACTGCTGTTGAACACCACAAAGTTTTTTTAACAGCACAGTATCACCCAGGGTTTTCTTTTTAATGATGAGCAGTACTAATAAACATACAGTCATATAAAACTGGCTTTAGCTTAATACTATCATACTTATATTAGTCAGCTTCGAATTTTCAAAAGCACTGGTTTGATGAATTCTTTTTAAAATTCAAATTCAAATTTTTATATATGAAATAATATCCTTATAGTTTATCACAAAGATAACTTTAGAGAAAGAACAGATTCAATATCTCTTTATCTCTGAATATTTCTTATAAGTATGCTTATTCTGGGAAGCAAAATGCCTATATTTTTCACTTAGCTATATTTTAGAAAACTAAAGGAATTGTGATAAATAGCATTATCGTCACTTTCAAACAGTATATGGCTAGCAACATACATATGCAAATTATATCATGTTGAAAAATAATCTGAAATCTACTTCATTATAATATGCCACATAATATACACAAACTTAAGGGTTTATAATTTAATCTTAGAAGCTATACCTGTAAGTGATCTATCGTGCACAGGTAGTTGCTAATTCAAACCATGGCATAGCATTTTTAGATCTGGTTTGATCAAATTTCGTGTATTTATACAATGAATACTTTATTTTCCTTCTCAATTTTTGAGCTATGCTTTCAGAATACATAAAAATCAACTTCGCTCATAACTTGAAGTTTAAATTCAAGCCTCACGTACAACCACGTTTATCTAGTCTTTAAAAGAACAAGTATATTATATATGGAAAAGTAAAATGTAACAGAATTAAAGGGTCTGAATTTAAGAATGATGAGCAAAAAACATTACTGTATAAGATCTTGGAACGAACAATTATGACAATAAAGATTACTCCTAAGTTAATAAAAGCCCCTGGGGTCTTTACTCTGTGGCTTCAGTTGGAATAAGTCTTAGAAATGCAGGGTTTCATAGCCATCACCCTTCTCTCTCCCCATTTCAAACTGATAAGTCACAAAACAATTGCTGCCACTTTAACATACCATGGAAACCAAGTGGTGGCCAGCGACAGAAGACAGAAGGCAGAGCAAGATGGGTGATGCACAGCCAGAAAAAAGCAAATCCTACTCTAGAACACAAGAGGGCAAAGCCAAGAGTGTATTACAAAGTGTGTGTGTGTGGGGTGGGGTGGGGAGAGTCGGGTCAGCCCTCCGACTCCATTAGGACATCATGGACTGCTGCCCTGAAGAGTGAGCTTACACAAGAGGGCAAAGCCAAGAGTGTATTACAAAGTGTGTGTGGGGGGGGAAAGGGGAGGGAGGCGGGAGAGAGAAGGGCATGGATGCTCAAGTAAAAGCAAAGGACCCAGAAGTAAGCAGGGTCAATATGGAAATAAAACTGAGGAAGGGATAAAATAAGGCCATAAAGGAAGATAAAGTAAGGCCATAAAGGGATAAAATAAGGCCATATAATAAGGCCATAAAGGATGGAGAGGGTCAAGGAAATATTTAGAGGGCATGCTACCACCTCAAGTTGTTATGAAAAATCTTAATACAGCCATGTCAGAGTTGTTCTTTTTCCTTCTCTGCTTATTCTTATCCCCTACCCTTAACTTTCATTAAAAGAATAAACTCTTCTTCTTTACCACCAATGAAAATGTGGGTAATAAAGAATTTGGATTTTGTCTTTTCACTGGTACTTAATACAGTTTCTCTAGTATCACATTTAATCATGTTCAGTGAATTATGATTAAACTTAGTTCCACTTAGTTCTTAGTGCTTTTTATTTGCTAACAATCATTAAACTGCAAATTACTTTTCCCCACAACTCCTCTGTGGATTACATATGGCACAGCCTTAAAATCTTGAGTTTAGGGAGAGCAAGCTAATTTTAAGAGAAAGCACTGAGAATAATTTTTTTAAAAACCTCTCAGTTATTCTTATTGCTCATGCTTTTTACATAAAAAGTTAACTACATCCTTAATTATGATCAAAGAAACTTAAATCAGCTTTGCAGAAAAGTTTTAGCACTAAGCCACGGAGGAACTGGGAGGTAATCAAGATACCTAACCCACAATAAAAATTTATTTTTTAAAAATGTTTAAACATTGAAATGTGGGGTTTACTTTTCTTCTACGTACTAAAGTACTGGTCTACAACAGGTACTCACTCGAAAAATGTGCCCACCAGAACCTCTTCCGTCTGCAACACTCAAGGCAAGACTGCCTTGGCTGCCATGCAGATCCCTAGAGCTGCCATAGTGAAAGTTGCTTACAGCAGTAAAATTGGAATTAAAGGACCTTGACAGCATGCTCTGAATAAAGAGGGGATAGATTTAACAGAGATTAGTGCAGCATGCAAAATTCACAAGACATGTTATGTACACAGATGTATTTACAATAACCCCAATACCACACAGAAATATCATGCAACATGGAATTTTCAGTGCCACTGAAATTGGCACTATTTAACATATATTTACATGACAACATAAACATAGACACACAAATTACATGTAATCCAACCATCACATTTAAACACCAAAGGATAAAGTATAAAAATATAGATGCTTTCATGCTATTATTTCCTTTACTCCAGACATATAACTTATTAGTTCATAAGAAAATAGGAATTAATGTCATATCCAGATGTATCTGTACACATACATAGTTACACATGGAACACAAACTCCCCTATAAGATAAATTTTACCAACAACCAGTTATTTCTAAGTCAAAATGAATTTCTAGAGTCTTTCATTTTGTAGAAATTGCATTATTATTAAGTAAATGCAGAATTTAAATATACATAATATAGCACAAAATATATCTGCAAAACATACCACCAGGCTCTTGGCCATAGCAATGTCTAAAAATAATTATCTTCCACATTTAGAAAAATCTCTTACATTAGGTAAAAGTATAATAGAAAAACAGAGGATTTTAGGATATAACATTTAAAAGGCTCCCACTGCTCTAGAATTACCAAGATTAAAAAAAACAACTAGAAAATACATGTATAAAAACTTTTCCATTCAAATAAATAGATATTAAAGATTATTTTACTTTAGGAATTAGTAGTAGCCTTTGCCGCTTAAGCTTGAAGAACTACTGATGGGACCCTTCCAAAGATTGAGTTTATATGAATGCTTAATCACTAATCCCAGAGCTGCTTGAAAAATGTACCTCAATAAATGCAATGCCTGATTCTCATTATTCTTGCTTGTTTATCCCCAGAGTTGTTAACTGCTGTTCTTTCATGTGGTTGCTTTTTAGTCGTGTCCCTGAATACTAAAGGTCTGATGGTCAAACTGAGAGAAACCACACTGAGCATGGCTTGTTAATAAGAAATACAGAAATGTCATAACAAACATTTCTATGTTACTCTTATGGAATATATACCTTCTCTAGATTATGAAGTTGATGTTGAATACCAAGAACATTAATATGACATTCCAGAATGAAATGGATCTAAAATAGTACAATGTATACTTTTATTCCATAGATTCTAAAGTAATGATTAAAGAAAAAGTCAAACTTAATAGGCTAGGCCAGTACTTTTCCAAATCATTTCATGAAAGGTAAAGATTTGGCAGAAGCAATTCAGAGATTCCATAAACATTAGAATGTAAAAATAAAAAAATTATACACACAGTTACATACATACACATTTTGTTTTAATGTATTATTAACCTAAAGGGACAGACTGTCCCTGTTTAAGGATATACAGATCGGGAACAAAGCCTTTTCTGTCATCTTTAAACATATATCGGATTTTTGTAAATATTTCACTGACTAAGAAGCTGAAGCTCAGAATAGGTCTGGTTTTTAATTCAGGGTTGTGCCTAGGCATCCATATAAAACTGTGCCCCATTCACAACACATCAACACATTGTGCAGAGTTCAATTATGTGCTGGACATATGTCCTCCACACTGTTGTTCATTATATGCTAAAAATTGTACAATAGCAAGTGAGCATGGAAATTATGTTGTTAATCATATTTTGGTTGAGTGCTTTTTGTCTAAGTTTTTTAATAAGTAATATTAGCAAATGCTGACATTAGTAATAATTCAACTTTGAAATAAAAATTTTTATTTATTTTCAATGCTGTTGATATTTTATTTGTAAATGTCTTGAGATTTTTGAGGTGAGATCTATTTTATAAGTTTGGGTTCAGGTAGTTGGTTGTGGGGGTGAGAAGGGATGTTACTACTACAAGGTTTTAAAACCAATTAAAAGCCAATAACTTACCTATTTCTGTATTGTTATTAAACTCTCATGTGGGCAAAGTAGTAACTTACCTCCAGAGGTAGGACAGGCATAGTGAAATTGCCTGGATAAAGTTTTCAAATGTCCACTATGCCACCAGAATTTTGTTTGCAGAGGAAGAGGAGTTGCAGAGGAGCAAATACAGATCTTCCATCACACTCTACCATTGTTAATCAATGCTTTCAAGTTTGGAGTCTAAATCATGTTGCCCTGTGTCCTCATAAGGCTTTTCTTAGTGTTATTGAACTTATTCTCACCTCTAAATTACCAGTGGGCTCAACTGAGAAACTAATGTCATTTACACTTCAAGCAACTGTATGACAAATTTCTAAATATAAAAAGCAGAGAGGCACAAATGAACAATGAGGTGGTTGCTACTTGCTTCCTATTTGCTGAAGTCCAGGCACATCTCTGTCGGACAGGATAAGTAATGAGAGAACAGCCATCTGAGATGTCAACTAATAATATAATGTAATATAATATGGTACATATAGTATAATATAGTAAATAAACTCATCTCTTACTCCAAAGCTCCTATTCCTCCTCTAGGTCCAAGGATAGTTAATGGCATTCTCAACAATCAGTTATTCCAGGCGCCAATCTCAAACTTAATCCCTTTCCTTCAATGACTGATTAAAGGAATAATCCAATCAGAAGTAAACTCATAAAGTCTATTTCAGAATTGCCTCTTGCATTCATTCCTTTGTCTCAATTCTACTAATACATTTCTCATTTATTTAATGGACCACCAGACAGTCTCATAAGTCAATCAACTTAACTATGGACTCTTCCTCCTCAAATCCAATTCCACATTATCATCAGAAGTTTATTTATAAAATAGCTATACTACTCCTGTGATTAAAAATTTCTAGATTCCTTTAAAAAAAAAAAAGCACACAAGTTCAAAAAAGCCTCAACAGTATGTACAAAGTTACAGCTCAAACAAATAGATGAAAATGAAGTTTCCCAATACCTATAGACAGCTCAGCTCTTTAAAGTTGAGAGGATAGCACTGCATAGAACTAACATGAATTGACATAAGGTATTAATTATATTTTAGGTATTTTTTTCTGAAAAATTTGACTTAAGAAATTGTTTTGAGGTTGTATATGTTTGGCTACTTTTAGAAATGTATCTTAAGCAGAGGTAAGGTAATTCTTAGGTAAAATTCATTAAAGAATATGATACACACACACACACACACACACACAGAGCCACAGAACTGTGGCACTGATATATTGGCTTTACAAGATATTTAAAAATTTTTAACTCCTTTTAAAAAACAAACAGAAGCTATTTTGCCAACAATTTCCAAACTACAGTAGAGCCACACGCCTGAGTTCAAATAGGTCAGTAATGCAGTTCAGAAAAGAGTAAATGCCATGCCAGAAGCCATCAGTGTCAGTGACAGTGTTAGTTATATAACTGGGGAGGGGTGGGCAATCTTAGATAAAATATTTACATTTATAGTACATTTCTTGTTTTTTTTTTTTCTGTTAACTATATAAAGATTGTTTATTTTTGTACACATATTTACATAATCAACAATTAATAGATGACAACAGTTCAGAAAATGCTAAACGGAGGCAAACATGTATATATGTATGTATTATTTATAGTATGTGTGGCACAATCCAAAGAGGTACATACATAAATATAGAATATGAATGTAAGCCCATTAGAAAACAGTGAGGAATAAGAAAAGGGAAAGTAGCTTACACTACTATCAATTGTTTTTGGTCTGGCTAAGTATGAAGTTGGAACTCTATTCTCGGTACCAAAAAACCCCTATTAGAATATAAGTATATTTTCAATAATTCGGAGCACTTTGTTTTACCTTTTTTAAAAAGCAAAGAATGCTAACTATTTTAAAGGAAAAGTAGTAAATTCACAAAGGAGAGAATGAAAAATTCATGTTTAATTACCTTTTCTAACTTTTTGGCCTCAATGTGTCGTAGTACTTGTTCTCGCCAATCAAGAGGAACTTTACTTTTTCCCGGAGGATCTAATAAAGAATGCTCAGAACCAACCCTTGCATTTGGTCTTTTTGAAGGACTAGTCCGTGAATAATTGAAATCACTAACTGACATAGTTCTCTCTGGTATTTCACTAACCGAAGGTCGAGCACTCTGAGGCCTAGATGCATTTGGACCATCGATGCTGTATGTTCGTGCTGAAAGAGGTCTCTGTGATCCTGGCATCACTGGAGGAGTTCTTCCAACTGAGTGTAACTCCCTGTACGATAAATAATCTCCTTCGGGGACGTGTGCCCGCCTGGTGGGACCTGGCTCACCAAGATTTACAGAGGCTGTGGATGACACGCTGCTTTGTCGCTGAACTGTATTTCGAGTTGCTCCAGGAACGAGGCGGTCATTTGGTGAGATGGCCCACATGTCCCCATGTCTTCCTGGGCCAAGTCTCGGATGTAAATGGTATCCGGTACTAGCTCGAATGTTGTTATGGTTAGAGAAATTCATATTGGCAGAATGTTTAGCGTAACTGTGATTTTCTGTGCTTTCTGATCTAGGAAGGCGCTGAGGAGGAAAACTGACATGATCTATTTGAGGGTTTTGTTTGGAGTGCCACAAAGTGTCCTTGACTGAAGCACTGCTGCTATACTGAATATTATATTGTGGAGGACCATATATTTGAGGCATAGATTGTGGGCCACTTGTTGTGGGTCCTCTTATATTTGGCTCTTCAGGATTATGATTTGAATCAAATTTGAAAATCGCCTTTGTACCTGATATTAAATCAGAAGATGAAGAAGAAGCAGTAAATACCTGCAGTGGTTGATCATATAAAAGCGTAGCAGACTTACTTCTGACTATATTTTTCCCATCAACAGTAGATGTGACTTTAACTGTTGCACTTGGCTGCTGGGGTCCATTATCACTAATAATGTCATAGATTTTTAACCCTCCAGTCTCCATATTAGTTATGCTATGAGATTTCACAACAGATCCAATTGGCCCACTTCTCTGAGGGGAGAGATCTTCAGTGCTTTTGGAAATACCCATATCGACAGAAGAATCAGTGTCAAGTGGTTCAGTCCTCCTAGGAGACTGTGGAGTTGCCTCAGAATGTCCATTTACCTTATTTATACATTCCAGATTAGGATACTTGTTTCCATTTTCCAAGTGCTCAGCTTCTCCTTTAGCATTAATGCTTAAAAATCCCGTTCCAAGCACTATATCCTGTGTCTTTGATCTTTCTGCTCTCTCTGGTTGAAATGTATCATTAGTTACAAGTTTATTAAGATTCATATTGATATGGTCTAATTTGTGAGATTCATCAGATGTGGCTGTTGAGTCATCTTTCTCAATAAGAGCTTCAGGTAAGTTAAAATCATTTTTATCATGAATCTTGAATTTTTCCTCTGTTGAATGGTTTAAAATATCTCCATTTTGTAAAAGGCTGTTAAAATTTTCATCTTCTTGCCTAAAACAAAGATAATTTTATCACAAACATCACAAAGTCCAGTTTTCTTAGTAAGAGGAACATTAATAACTAATTAGTTAATGTGTAGGTATACGAAGTTAAAATAGTTGACGGGAATTACAGATGAAAGGCATTTATTATCAACCTTGTAATTTAAAAATATTATAATAGTCAAATAATATAGATTTAGATTAAAGACAAAACATACTAAGTAAAACTCATAGATAATCAATATTAATTTTCATCATGAACCACTTAGTCAAAATACAGAGCTAAAAACATTTAACTCTGAAAAAATAGTTACCAATATAATATAATAAGCTTTGGGTTCAGTAGCAACCCAAATCTTTCTATCAAGAACGCTAGCTGATAGATTAACATGAAGGTAAAATGGTATACTTTTACTTTGATAACCAAACTTCTTGAAAGCTTAAATAATAAATTTGTTTTAAACTTTAGCTAAATTCCAGCCTTTAGGAATTCAGTCTTGTTTTAGAGAGTTTGACCTACAAATTTAAGCCTAACGCAAAGATATAGCACTAATCAAAAGTATTTGAATGAATCCTTTAATTACATCTCCCCCAAATAATTTTGCATTTTTAACCCTAAAAATACCCCCTTTCAACTTACTCCAGTCTGTAATACCTAGAAATATTATAAAACTGTTCAACCTTTAACAAAGAGAAATAGAATATATTTTAAATCTTTTCTTCCCCACTTAAAATATTAATCTAAAACGAAAATGTATAAAAGTTAATTAGTCATAAAATAATGGAGAAATTATATGCTTCCTGAACCATTTCTATAATATTTGTGAAATCTTTATGTTTCATGCATTAGTCATATATATTTATTTACCTTAATATCTCTATTGTACAAATAAATCATTTTGTTGAGACGTTCACAAACCTGATTTTTGAATTAATACCAATATGAGTTTGTTTCACTGGAGAGCAGAGTGAGGTATCTTGACTGCTATCGGTATTAAGAGAAACTGAATCAGACATCCGAGATGGAGAAGAACAGTTGCTGTTATTCTGATTGCTATTGTGTGTAACTTCATCTGATAAAGAATCTGTATCCTTTGTATCATCTGAAACAAAAATACTTAAGCTGTTGATAAAGTCACGAAGAACTCTATGAAATATATTTCAGTAATGACAAATGACATTTATATTGTCCTGGTTCAATGTATAAGGTAAAGAATCACATGGATAAGATAACCAGAGGCACCTCTGAAAATTCAGTCCTAATACACACATAAATTGAAGAATTTTAAAATAGTGATACCTTTAGTATCTAAAAAAATATAACCAATGTTAGGGTCGCTCAGAATTTGATTTAGTTATAACTACTGACAGGATGATTACACAGTGTTCTCTAAGCTATCAATTAGTTTAAGTGTATATGCTTTTCCATTCATTTATAATTTTAAAAAGTCATAACAATAACAAATATAGAGTATAGTTCACAGCCTTGGTACACTTATCTGGGGAAGAAATTATTTTCTACATGTATGGAATTGTTTTCATGTAGGAACTGTATATAAATTTCAAAGAACTGTATATAAATAGTGAACTCAATATACAAGATGGTTTTGTGTGTAACAATTACATAAGCGTAAGACAATATTCATATTCCATTATAGGCTAGTATAAAAAAGTAGTTTTTAAAAGTAGTGATCAAAAAGATAGTAACGTAACATCTTTACAATGCTAAAGGATGTTTTTAACTAATTCTAGCCTAATCATAGAAATAGTATATACAGACATAGGAGAATACATGAATTAAGGATATTTTTGTAGTTCCAACATCTCAGTTCAAGTAGTCTGAACTGCGTCAACAATTAAAAACAGTAGTATATGGGGCTCTGTAACTTCAACTTTAAGATATCAGAGTCTTGGATCATAAATTTTAAAAATAATGTTAAACTATATGGCACTTAAATTCTTTCCTAGATACATTCCTCTTCTTCCATCTTGGTATTATGGAACAATTGTGACAATTAGATAATAACATGTAAAATATTTAACATATAACAAGCAGCAACTAATAAGTACTCAACAAACATTACCATTATTATTATGAACACAAGCTATTCGAGGGCAACCTTGATAGTAAGTTTCATTAATGCCATAAAGGCAAAGGTTGGATAAATATTTGGTGGAGATGGTGTAGAGGTGTTCAGGCACTGGTAGGACGGAGTGAGGGAAGGATAAAGGAAGTGATAGATAATCTCCAAGCTTCCTTTCATTTCTAGGAGTCTAAGATTCTATGTTACATGAAAGAATGTCTGGAAAGGGGGGTGGTTCAAAAATAAGTTCAGGGATAGATAAAATAACAAGAATCTACTATAAGTCAGGTAATATGTTAGATCTGAGTACACTGAATAATTTAGTATATCTGATATTCACAAAATCCTTCATTAGCCTCATTTTATGTCAAATTAGGTATGTACAGATGGATAAAATTAGGCAGAGCTCAAGAATCATAAAACAAATAAGTGGTGGAAATGAAATCATAATCTAGGCTTGTCTGCCTTTGTTATAAAGTCCATGCCCTTGTAAGCAGACTTGCACAAGGGAGAACAGGTCTATCAAGAGAAGAAACAGGCCTTTTAAAAAGGCATGTTTTAAAAATTGTTGCTAAACAGTGTTTTAAATAATATAATGACATTTAATGAAATTTATTCCAAAAAATTATAAATTTTATTCAGTGCATTTCTATTCTTAGCACTTTCCTTTAACGGCTAACCTTTCTTGTTATTACTAAGTGCTACCACTTTTGGCTGGTTAATAGATGTTTCAATTAATGGCGGTCGCATCTCTGCCATTTTCATTTCTTCATCAGAAGAAAGTTCTTCAGATTCCTAATTTAAAGAAAAAAGAGTGAAAATATTTATGAAAATAGATTTTGGTTTCTTTAAATGAATAAATATTAAGTCATAAGAACATCAGATAGGAAAGAATGTTTAGAACATGTCTGAAACCTTTTTATGGTAACATGTAGTGACTAAAAGTAGTATATGATTTATTTTAAAAATTTCAAGATAACAGCAATAAAACTATGGTAGTTATTAACAATATGCCAAAGCACTTATGGGATTAATTTTCTGTGGCAGGCCTTAATTCGAGTGTACTAATGATTACTTGTGCCTGGTACTATGTCAAGTACCAGAGGAATGAAATAAAATAAAATAATTCCTGTCATTGAAAAACTCAGTTTGCTCCAATAAAAAGTCTTCCTAATCCTCAAATTTATTACCTCAAGGATCAATAGATTCTAAGGAATCAGAACTGAGGTAATTCTTCTTCTGCTAAAATGAATTAATGGCAATTTTTGTCTAATAGGAAGACAGAATTTTATATTATTCTCCATAAATTTTTCTCTAATATTTGGCAATTATCCCAAGTTATCTAGCATCGAAAGCTATTCCATAGGGAAAAAAAGACCTATTAATGGAAAAATTATAATATTGTATAAAAAAATCAGATCTTCTGCAGGTTAAATTATTCCCAGTTAATATGATGAAAAAAAAAAAAAGGTTTTAAAAAGGTGTTCTGTTAAAAGTACTAAGACCTTTTGGTACTCACAAGTGCCATATTAAATATATAGACTGGAGTCAGCAAGCTTTCAGTGAAAAGGCCAGACAGTAAATATTTTACACTTAGAGGGCCGTGCAATGATCTGTTTCAATTACCCAACTCTACTGTTGTGCACAAAAGTAGTTAGAGATAAGATGCAGAAAAATGACCAGGGCTGTATGCCAGTAAAACTGAATTTCATCTAATTTTTCACATCATGAAATATTCTTTTGATTTTTATTCAACCATTTAATAATGTAAAAGCTCTTACAAGTTCTTAGCTTGCAAGCCACACAAAAACAGGTAGTGGGCAGATCTGGGCCATAGGCCATAGTTTGCCAACCCTATTCAAGACTGTACTACAATGGAAAGAGTTGGACTGGTAATTGTAGAATAGAAAAGGAATGTAAATTCTGTCTAGTCTTGAACTGTGAGTTAAGAGGGGAATGACATTCTGAGTAGAGGAAAGCATGCAAATAAAAGGTATGGCAAGTCAGCTCCAAGCAGTTGGAGCTCAGGATAAGTGGCAGGAGGCAGAAAAGGTAGGCTGGATTGGATGCTGAAAGATTATGCCGAGTATAGACTCAATGAAGTGTGTGTTGGGTATGACTGAAAGTTGCCAAGCCAGAAACTCACAAGGTCAGACAGACCATATTTTAAAATGAAGAATGTATAGGAAGAGAAAGAGACTGGTAGGAAGGAATCTAGCTATCACGTCAGTCCTGGAGAAAAAAAGACCACATTTGTCCTTAGGCAATGGCACTGATAGCCTGAAGACAAAAAGAATTCCACAGAAATTTTGGAGTTAACAGGACTTAATGACAATGAATGTAACGAGGAAGGGCAAATGGTGTGTCCTAATCTTTGATATCTGCAGCACTTAAAACTGCTGACCAGAGAGACTTTCTTCTTCATGAAATTATATTATACCTGGGCTTCTGGGAACTGCAGTCTCCTAAATCTCCTCCCACCTTTCTTTCTCCTTTGTCCACATCACTTAA